GATGCTCCACTTGGTCTCGTTTTGGCTACAATAGTTTAATAATTTGTTATTACCATTACTCATTATCATTAATGAAATAATAGTCAGTCAGAGGGCTTATTAATATGTAATAATATGTATACTAAGTCTGAAGGTGGCGCTTTACTACGACGTCCCCATCTTGGATGGTACACATACATAACTCTGCATTGCTGCGCCATCTTGTCAGCACTCTAGTTGTTAAATAGCTCTATGGGCGGGCCGCACAACAAGGCACTGACTCACGTATCAAGGCGAATGAGGCGCGCGTGGGAAGGCGTTCAAACTTTTCATTGAACTTTTCGTCATGTCGAACCCATGCTCTGACAGTGCTAGAAAAGCAGGAGGGAAAACAGTGCAAGGTAAAAATGAAGCAAGCAACAGATAATATACAGACATGTAAAAACATTTGCGGACAACCAAAGTTTCCATCTAGGTTGTCCGCTGAACACTGAACACATGCCTTTGTGGGATAAGTGTGTGTACTTAGCGATGCTCTGATTCGCCAGCTGTTAAGTTTGATTGACACTCCATTGCCCACGCCTTCAATATTGCCAGTTTAAATGCTTCATGAACAAAATCAAACACAAGCTCAACAACATTTTATGTATGTGGCGATTGCTATTTATTTGTACATGTACAGCTTGGTGAGACAAGGATGCTACGAGTCTTCAACATGAACAAAAAAAAACTAATGATTTCAGCAACAGAACTCATTCCCTTTAGTATATTAAAAATTATATTCTATTTTAAATTAACATATGGTACTTAAAAATTAACAATATGTATCACTTGTTACAATTCATGTTTTAACATTTTTAATATCATTTCCTAGAACATGATCAGAATCTTGACAAAAAATGCTCAATTATAAGAATCACCATTTTTCTTGGAACTGTTTAAAATATTTTCATCTCTTCCCTTCTGGTTCAGTTATACAGTGGTGCTACATAATGTTATTAAGGACATATTTAAAAAACCTTTTTCATCTATTATTTTTCAAATTATAACTGAAAGTAGGGGACAAGTTTTTTTTTCTATTGCACTACCTACCATGTTGGTTTGTATTTCCATTGAAGGTTCAACCTGACCCCAAGCATATACCATACATACATAATCAACTACAGTCTAGTCTTTACCAGGTTATATGTTACAATTTACAAGCTTTTCATTTTTAATAACACATTTCAAGTTAATCGGTCTACCAAAGGTCTTGCATATTTAAAAATGCATAAACCATGTATTCCTGCCAACCACTTTATTTCTGTATTCCCTTCCCATTAGCTTTGCACTAAAGCTTATTCTATACGGTCCTTAATCACTGATTGAAGCAAACGTTCTACCTAAAACATGGGTGCCAAAACTTATAAAAAACCAGTTATTACATAAAGTCATTTACACAAAAATACACTCTTTTTATTCACAAAAATTAAGCAATGATTTCAATACGAATTATTACAAATAAAAAAAATGAGAAAAACTTTGGAATAGGGTCATGTAATTAACACAGATAAAAAAGAAGACAGAAAATAATAATATCGCCCCTACAGAGGGACACTATGTACGGGGAAGTGTCATTATGAATTTGTACACTGCAACCAATTAACAATAGGGCTCAAACGTACAGGTATTGAATCATGATTTAATTGCACCATTCAATTATTACATTCAGAAATTTCCCTGAAGAGCTTTCGATTAAAAATTCTGACTGAAACCTGTCCTTAATCTTTTGTTTTCCAGGCTGTCTTACGACAAAACAACATATAATATTTAGGAATGGAATACTGACATAGTAAAGGTTAATGACAAACCATTTATTTTTAAAAATGAATTGTTATCTGAACACCACTTAAAGCGATGTTAAAATACAATTAACATCTGGGAGCATGAGGCATCTCCATTACGATGAAATGAAATGGTATACCTTATTCGTTTGTTGTCATTTTACCATGCAAACCTTTTCAAATAATATTTTCAAAAGAAATTATTTTCCTATATACGATGGTAAGATATTCTGTAACCATGTAAAACATTGTTTTACATGGCTTCTCTGCTCATACCTTCTTTAAAAATTTGAAATTTCAGAATAATGAAGCAAAGTAACAAAAAAACAAATTTATTCCATCTGCGTGGTAATTGTAGAACGTTAATTATATCTTATTATCTTTCAACCTTTGTTAGGGATTCAACTACAACTATTTCAGCTGTCAATAAAAGCAAATCTGCATACTCACTATTAACCTGCTTGTGTGTAATTATTACTTAAACAAGACATGTGATAATACAAACTACATACATACATACAGCACTTAATAGCGCTATATATGTATGTAAGAATAATTCATATTTATCCAAATAGCAGTACTTTTTCTCTCAATACCATATCCTTCGGTAATATTCATATTTCTATACCATTAAAAATTATTTTAAATTATTTTTTTATTTTATCTTGTAGAATATGTAGGCATCAGAATAAGTGAAATAGATATATGAGGCTAGCCATGTCAAGCACCATCAGCAGGGGTGAATCCAGAAATGTCCAAAAAGGGGGAAGGGGGGCCGAAAGTTGGGCCGATTGAGACAACACTGTCGTATGGGGTCAGGGGCATGCCCCCGCGAAATGTTTGTGTTCTAAACGCCCGAACATAACATTTGAGGCATATTCTGGGCTATCATTTTTTTTCTTTTTCTCTCTTTTTTTACCTCCCAAGAGGGGAGGGTCGGGGCCAGGCCGCCCCCCCCCCCCCCCC